GCAGCTGCTCATACAACACATCACTAATTACTACGGTTCCACTTTTATTGAAGCCCTTCACCTCTAGTGGAAATTTTCTAAGAATCCAGGTAATTTAATTTTTCTTCCGGATGAAGTTTAAATTTAATTTATTTCACATGTAATATCATTCTAAGCAATTATAAATAAATATATATGATTTTTCAGGACGAGACTTTAGTCGGTGTAACGTCGTCTGTGGACGTTGCAACAAAGAAGAATTTGAAAAATCTCGTCAAAGTTGGAGAGGACTTGCTGAAAAAGCCAACTTCAAGACTGGATCTGCGTACCGAAAAATACGTTCCATCTACTGATCAAGGAACAAACGAGGAGGCGCTTATTCGGTTAGCATCAATACTTTCAAAGAGAAACGGCTACGTCAGGATATTGCTAGGAAAAGAGAATCATCCGATTGGAACGATTTTCTCGAACGTTGGGGGATTGATTCATCAACTGACTATTTTTTTAAGCAAAGTTGATATGTCATCCTCTAGTCTCTACTTGAATTAATTTAATTTAGTATTTTTTTTTTCATTTTTTTAATTGAAATTTCTCTAGTTCTGGTTGTATGCACATATATTCATAATTCAATACAAGTTATTTTTATAGTTGTTTGAGGCATTAGTGTTTTGTGTCCATTTTCCTTTTGACTTTGTACATATAAATATATCAATAAAATGAAACATAGAATAAATATGTGGAATGTAAATTTATTTTTATTTTGAAGCAAACAAACCAGGGCATTGCAGTTAAATAAATTAAATTAATAAATTGAGATAATTTGTTTTTTGAATTTTGTTATCAAAATATTATTTAATGAATTATTTATATAATTGATATAAAAAATGTATAAGAAGCGAAATTCGCAGCAAAAATGGATGCCTTAAAACCTAAGAAGCCTCCCACAGCTTTCTTTTACTTTCTGTATGCCTTTTGCTCTTCACTTTAGTATATTCATCGCTTCAAATTTTACTTTTCTTAATCGAAATTTTACGTTAGGTTGAATAAACATAACTTCAGTGGCAGTTCTACAACTGTTATTTTTGCGATTCGACTGATTCAAACTATGCTCGTAATTGAACCTTAGCCATCGACCAAATAAAACCCTAGCCGCCATAACCGTCGACCAAATTAAACCCTAGCCGTCGACCAAATTAAAACCTAGTCACCATCCGCTGTAGGTCTGACCTCCATCACCATAGTCGTCATAACCTCTTGCCTCCATAACCATCCCCTTATTAACGCCCTCCACCGCCATAGTTGCGCCAATGGCCATCGCCCCATCAACAATGGTGAGAAGTGATGGAGAGGGAGAGCGAGAGAAAGAGAAACAAGAGAGGGAACGAAAGAGGCAGAAAGAGAGAAAGAGAAACGAGAGAGGGAAAACGAAAGGAAGAAAACGCGAGAGAGAGAAAACGGAAAGAAAATAAGAAAAATAGGTTTGGATGAAATTGTAGAATTTATGTATTTAAGCTGAAGGCAAATTTGGGATTAAAAAAGAATAAATGATGTAGATCATATTTATTTTTGTAAAAATGATTTAGTTCAGAAAAAAATATTAGGTATTCCATATCTAATTATATTTCCAACTACGGACCTCTAGCATATTAACCCTTAAATGAAACTGCCTAATTCAACATATATTGGACCCGTAACAACAAATTAAAGTCCCAAAATAATAGTAAATTGCAAACACCACCCCTGTGTAATCCTTAATTGCTAAAAAAGTCCTTGTGTTATAAAAATGAGTAAAACCCCCGCTATGATTAAAAGTCAAAGGCAAAAAAAGTCCATTAAAGCTGCTCGTGGTACTCACGGGCGGGTTGTGCGGTTCTTTTTGAAAATTTAGGGGTAACATGACATAAACACCCTTCTATACATATAAATAAAAAATGTATGTTAAATTTGATATAATTATAAATAATTCAAATTCAAAGGACCAAATAGCAATTTTTAAAATCTTAAATCCTAATCATCTTCTTCCTCCCTCTCACCCTCTCAACGCCCCCCTTGAAAAAAAATCCAGCACCTAATTCTCTTCTTCCCCAAAATTTCTAGATCTGAAAACAGCAAAGGCAACAATCACTGTCACTACCGCTGTCGGAGCCGCCCCTAATTCTCTTAAATCCTGTAGCTCTGTCGAAGCCGGCAGCTAACGAAACAGTGGAGGAGAAGAGCAAGGTATCTGATGCCTCCAGATCCAAACCTCCCCACTGTTTTTCTGTTTTTTATCGTTTTCTCCGACGATGGTTCTAGAGTTTGCAAAATAAGAAAAGGCTGGTGTGGAAATGGTCGACGGCGCCGCCGCACAGGAGGCAGGGGGCTGTGCAATCCAACTTGTGCGTAGTGTGTGTTTCAATCTAGGTTTAATAGTATTTTGGAAAATTACAATTCAGTCACCTAATTAAGTTTCAGAAATTTAGTAAAATTACAATTTGGCCTCTATTATATATTAATTCAATTTTTATGTTATTAATTAAAGAGTATATTTATCTTTTTCATCCCTGGTCAATGACTAAAATAACAATTGGTGCGGTGAGCTAATAAAAAAGTTATATAGGCGGATTTTTGCTAATTTTAATAACATAGGAACTTTTGTAGCAATTGGGGATTACACATGGGTAGTTTTTGCAATTTACTCCCCAAAATAATATTAGAGGTTTGGAGTTATTATACAATTGCCTATTTATATTTAATCTATTTCAATTTTTTCTTCCAAATAGATTTGTTCAAATTAAATCCGAATTAGGAGATATTCAATACGAGATGGTAAGTACATGATTTGAATAATCCAAAGATACATAATTTAACGAGATATTCAATACGAGATGGTAAATATATGATTCGAATAATCCAAAGATACATAATTTAACGAGATATTCAATACGAGATGGTAAATACATGATTCGAATAATCCAAAGATACATAATTTAATTCGTCTAAACTTGATACAAGTTTGACAAACAAGAAGAAAGCGATTACATACGAGTATCAAATCATTTTCACCAACAATTAAGGATAAAGAATCCCCCATTCATTGACTCAATTAATCACCAAGTCAATAATTTTCATATGCATACTCATTGTCGTAGATAACAACATCATCAGGATCATGATAACCATCATCGTAATCACGACCAAAATAATGCTCATCATCATCAAGTCTACCGTGGTTATCATAATCACAATCATAACCATAACCATAACCATAATCATCATCAGAATCATCAGAATCATCAGCGCCGAAATCATAACCATCCATAGAGTCACGAGGAAGCTTAAGATCCTTAATCCTTTCCAAACACAACTGTTCCACGTCAGCACACGTAAAAACATTGAAACACCCTCGTAGATCGAGTGAAACAAGATTCGGACAACCACAAAGAATGGCCTTCAATCCCACATCGGTCAACTTACTTCCGATAAGTTGAAGTTGGAAAAGTCCCGGCATGTTTTGGGCAATTGCTTCAGCAATCTTATCACACTCAATCCCCGGAGCATCGTAAAACCCTAGGTTGTTAAAGTTCATCGACTTCTTTTTTCGATCACAAAAGCTTAACGACTTCAACAACGGGCACGAAATGCCAATAGTTTCGATACCATTCACAGTGATCATACAGTCAAGTTGTTGTAGATGCAGCTCCTCCAGCAGAGGAAAATTAGTAATTGCTTCAACCACAGACGCGAACAATATACCACGGCAATTCACTAGTTGAAGACTTTTAAGCTGACTAGACCTGTTTAAAGAGGTCAGAAAATACTTTTGAATTAATATGTATAAATATAATGAATCAGCTTTTTTATTTTAGTAACGAAGGAATCTGCAGCCAACGATATATATAGTTGCACTGGGTAAAAGGTAAACAACAGACCCAATAATATTTACCTCTCGGAAATATAGAGAATCATATCATGAGTACCGAAACCATTAATGTTGATCTCAGTTAATTGGCCTTGGCTGAGATCCACTGCACAGCGGCACATTTTCACCAAGAGTACCGGCCGCAGCACGTTCGAATCTTGCATGTTAATACACCGCCATATAGAAGGGTACTCCTTGGACACGCGCCACCATGTAGGACAAACTTTCACGGCCGTCATCAGTATCTCCACTGCCCCCAGCTTTTGTAAAATCGCCGCCGTGATCTCTGGCGGCAGACTTTCCCACGGCGGCGGCGGCGTTGACTCGATCACCGGACTTGAAGACGATGCCATTGGCTCAGTTCTTGCTTGCCACTGCTTCGACTCTGGAAAGTGATTTATATAGAAGCCAGATTAGGGTTTCCTCGGGAGGTGTGCATTGCATGTGAATGTTGAAGGGCGTCGTAGTTATTATAATTGGAAGATGGAACGACAAGTTATAATTCACCCCAACCCCCGAGAAACATTTATGATGAAAAAGGGGTACTTCGGTAGTTACCTCTTTTTTCTTTGAACTTCGAAGCAATTATAAATAATTTACTGTTTTTTCATTATATTTATTGTTTTCTAATTTGTGAGTCATAAATATAATTTACTATTTTTTTTTAATGAAACTATAAGAACACATTATAAAAAAAGGGGCATGCTAAATCCCACACTAAAATTTACTAAATCCCACACATAAATTAAAAAAAAAAAATTCTTTCTACTCAAATTCTCTCTAAAATGATTTTATCCAACTCACTCAAAATTCATTAATTTTTTACGTGAATAATCATAAAAAATGAGTTCCGTTTTATTTAATATTTATTCAATTTCATTAAGCCTTTTTATATTCAAATTCATATCAATTTGAATATTTTCCTCAAATTCCAACTTTATTTTAGTTTGAACATGTGAAGATTTTTGTCAAATTCGAACTTGGAATGCTAGGGATGTTTTAGTGTGTGATTTTGTGAAAAAAAATTAGGGAAAAAGAAGAAGGGTGGAAAAGAAGAAGAGAAGATTTTGGAGAGATAAATTTTTTTAGTTATGTGCATGATTTGGTAAAAATAGTGTGAGCATTAGCATTTCAGTATTAAAAAAGTTTAATTAGTGAGACATTCAACACATTTGGATATATTAGGGTTGATCCGAAACCTTTTACATGTATAATTACATGAACGAATTTTAAACAATGAATGGTAGAGGAAATTCAGTTAAATCTCTATAAATTAATACATTCGGGACTAGGAAAATTCTATTAATTTAGCGAATTATTAAATTATCGAGTTAATAATTTAACTCGTTTTCACTGATTTGAAACCGAGAAAAACTATTATTTAATCGAGGTTATTAATTTATCGAAGTTCTACTACTGTAGATTGAGGGAACAAGTTAGAAATAACATAAGAGCATCATCACATCATTTAATTTAATCAAACCAATTAATTTAAATAATAATTAATCGTCATCATCATCGTCGTCGTCGTCGTCGTCGTCGTCATCGTCATCATCATCATCGGCAATCGGCATCGCAATCGCAATCGGCATCGGCATCGTGGAAGGGTCCAGCTGGCACACGCGCCGCCAATACACTTTCACCGCCGTGGTCAGAAGAATCTCCACCGCATCCAGGTTTTGTAGGATTGCCGCCGTTATCTCCGGCGGCAATTTCTCCCACGGCGGATTTGATGCCATTGGAGTTGTTTCCTTTTCTGCTTACAGATATTAAAGAGCGCTCTTTCGTTTTTGTTCTTATTTTATTTTTATTCTTGTTTTATTTTTGTTAGTTCATAATCGAAATCCGATTCGGTTTTTGCTGAAAAAAAGATATTGTTTATAATTTTGAAATAATTAGATTTTAGGGGGCTTTACGTTTGAAACGAGATTAGAAGATTTAAAATGCTTTTTCAAATACTCATGTTGCTAGAAATGCAATTCTATTTACTTTCAGAGATTTTCTTTTTTTGAATTAAACCTCACAGTTAATCAGTTGATTTAACCATAGAATAAAAATAAGCTGAAGATTTTTTTTTTTATTTTTTTTGGAATAAGACTCACAAAATCATCATCCCCTATTTCTTTGAATTAGGCTCACAAAATCGGGCTTAATTCCACTTTGCACCCTTAAAATATACCAATTTGGCACTTTGCACCCTCAAAAAATAATAATAGCACTTTGCACCCTCAAAATATTATAAATCATTCACAATGCACCCCAAATTGAATAATAAATAATATTTCATTTTTCATTGGTTTTTTTTTTCGCGGTGCAAATCAAAAAAATAAATTGTTATTTTTTTGAACCTCCAACCTAATTTCGAGCACACAAAGTGGAAAAAAATAAAAATTACACCAAATTATTTAATAAAAAAAACTATATTTTCTTACAAAAAATAAAATAAGCTTGTATTACTAAATTATTCGATCGATAAATCTTTTATTGTATAACTATATTTGGAATAACCTGATAACGGAATAGCTGAGTGATTTTTCTTTTGTAAAATATTTTATTTTGATAAAAAAAATATAATTTTTAAATATGTTGACGAAACGTATTTTTATTTTTTCACTTTATGGTTTCAAAATGATTGATGAATAAAAAAAGTATTTGACATTTGGCATCCTAAAAAAATATCACTAAAAATATTAAATTACATTTTTTAGCTTTAAACTTCATTTGGGGTGCATTGTGCATGATTTATTGTGTTTCGAGGGTGTAAAGTGCTATTAATTTGTTTCGAGGGTGCAAAGTGCCAAAATGGTATATTTCAAGGGTGCAAAGTGGAATTAAGCCCACAAAATCGTTTAATTTAAATAAATAGAAAGAATAAGCTGAACAAGTGATGTACTTCCGGATTTATTTTTCATTTTCTTTATGATTTTTTTTTTCGGTCATATTTACATACTATTTACACATTGTATGTATATAACGAACTTTTGATATTTGTTCCAGTATGAATTTTGAGGCTGCAACAGAGTCATTCAGGTTATTGGTGTTTATTATAATTATGTCAGGCTCAAAGACGAAAATGCAAGCGAGTTGGTGAACGGAAAGAACAAGGAAATAGTGCATCGTCTTCAAGATATTGTTAATTCGCTATCTATTGACCATATCAATAAGAAGGTACAGTAGAGCATTGATAAATTAATAACCTCGATTAAATAATAGTTTCTCTCTAGTCATATTAAATTATAGATGTTTGACTTGCATGTATATGTGTGGAAATTCTATTATTTCTTTTCTGAGCAGAGAGATAAAAAAAACAATGTTTTCCTAAAAAGATGAAATTTTGCAGATAAGCGACCTGGACTATAAGATACGACGCAATTATACATGGAATCAAATCAACAATTTCATGAGTGAAATCAATCGACTGGAGCGACTTTCCGAAAAAGTATCCAGCTTTTGTTAAATCAATGCTGTTATCGATCTCTGGCGGCAATTTCACCCACGTTGGCTAATTTGCTTCCATCGTCAATGTTGAAGAGGATGCCATTTGTGTTGGGGTTGGGAATGAGTAGATTATTTTTCTTCTTTAATTTGGAGTTATAATATAATAAGTCCTTATTCAGAAAATCGTTGTCTACAAGAGTGAGAGACATTAGTCTCAACATTAATTGATTTAACCGTCCGGATTGCTTCTTTCAAGTGTATATATATATATATATATATATATATATATATATAAATATGGCAATATAATACATGTCAAGAACAAGTTAAAGTAGAGATAAAAGAAGAAAATATCATTAATAATTGAAAAAAGTTTCCCAGAAGAGAAACAGGTAGAACCAGAACAAAGAGATTACATAAATTCCACCAAAAGTAATTAATAGGAATGAAGAATTAATTAATACTAACTCCATATATCCTTAATTAATCATCAAGTAAATAATCGTTGCCGCAGACATCCAAGTCTAGGTTTCCATCTACGTAGACATAATCATCAGCATAATTATCATAATCATAATCAATCAGATCATCACCAAACAGACAATCATGCAGCATTGCATCGTCGCCAAAGATTAGATCATCGTCCATTTCGTACAGCATTTCATACAGCATTTCATCATCATCTGCATAGAAAGATGCCATTAGATGGAAACTCTCCTTTTTTTTTTTTTATTTGTTTATTGTGTCGTATTTTGGAATTAGGGTTTAGAGATCTTTTTATAAGCGAGGGGTCAGATTAGGGTTAATGAGGGGGCGGGGCATCAAGTTTACATGCATCGGTTACTGTAATAGTATATCACATTTAAGATGCATGCATGCGTGCATGTATTTGGAACGACGCGCATGATGCATCGGTACTGTATAATTATCTACTTTTATTTCACTCGACATTAATTAATTATGACCAGAAGATATATATATATATATATATATACATTGGAAATATCCAAATATTTATATCATGTATTGTCCTCTTTCTTAACAAGGAGAAGTCCAAAAGGCTAAGCAATTACAATGTGCATTTCACGCGCCACATAAAAAAAGTATATAAATCATTAAATAGTTAGTAATATATAATCTCTTCTTACGTACTCGTGAGGAAATGTATAATCTAGTTAGTATATAAATCATTTAATTATTTTGCATACATATTAAGAAATTAATTCAATATATAGTTAGATTTTAGAAAGAAAAAATAAAATAAAAAATATAAGGTAAATTACTGCTACCCCTGAGGAAATTTCAAATTACGAAAACATCCTTCATGTTTGAGTAATACAATTACCCTTCTCAGCTATGAATTTTATTACACAGCCACCCTTCACGTGGAATGTTCTCTATTTTGTAATCATTTTATGCAAAAACCGAGTTTATAATGCACCACAATCTGATATTTACAAGGTAAGAGACACATTTAATGATCATCTTGCATGTTTCGAATTGTGGAGCTCTAATAGGGTAAAATGAGTACAAGCTCGAAAATATTTCACATAATTTAAAAGATTTTATTAAAATTGACACTGCAAGGATGGACGTGTAAAAAAAAATCATAATTAAAGATTGTAATTATCCAAACAAGAAGTTTTTTTTTTCATAATTTAACCTTCTCTTATGGGTGAAACTTGCCCTATTATTATCATCAAATGAAGTGACTAGATAGCTAATATTTGAGAGAGTTATCTAATAAAATAAATTGTTCAATATCTCACAGTTGGGCACATGAATGAATGAAACTGTTATCAATCACAAAGTCAAAGCAAACAACAGCCAAACGAAAATTTGTCAACGTCGTCCAAAAATCGCGTAAATATTTCCAAACCATATAAAAATTATAAGTAAACTGTTCTTTCATGGGCTAACACCAAGCCATTAAGCCACCGACTTTATCCTAAATGATACTATTAAAAAAAGAAGAGAGAGATAATTATAACAGAGAGGGTCCGCAAAGCTACCTCTCTTCTTTAATTTTGACCTCTCAATTTATATATTAATATATATATTATTCAATTTCATTATTATACATTCATTTCTTTCTTTCTTTCTTTTCACACAAAAAAACCAAAAAAAAAGAAAAAACCAAAGTGGCCCTTTTTTTCGATTTCTCGAAAAGATTGATTATTATTCTTTTTTTTGAAGGATCGTTTGTTCATTGTTCTAATTAGGGTTTGATTTAATTTAATTCTGCAAGAAAGTTATGAACCAATCTCGTGCAATTTCATCTCCTGATTTGGTTTCTCCCTCTACAAGACCAGAACATCATTACGATGATTCCGCATTAGAAGGTATATATAATTTGATTCCTTTTTTTTTTTAATCTTAATTAGGGTTGATTATGCGGATTAATTAACGTTAATGTTGATTTAATATATTGTTCAGGGGTGGCGGCAAATATAAAATTACTGTTGAAACTAACACAGGACCACAAAGAAGCCTGTGACAAAGAGAAAAATGACAGCCGGCGAATGTTAAGGGTTGCCACAATGATGACAATTCTTGACAATGTAAGAGACAGAATCCAAAAGTGTCAATCCTTTGGCAACATCAAAAGAACTTCCGAGGCGGAGCTCCGGCGGTGCAACACCGACTTGAGGCGGAATCCGATCCCGAGGGACAAGCGGCACC